CCTGTCAGGGTGGGACCGGATCAGCTGCTTGGACACCATTACCGCAAAGACAGCTTTTGCGCGGGTGCCGCGCCGCACGTCTCTCATGTCAAACAGATAAATGTTGCATCTTAAAAAAAGAAAACACGAATCAAAGTTATTAATCTATCAATGCAAGCTTCTGTTTGTGTCCCTCTGTTGTAACAAGATGATCAGGCAGGTGGAGGAAGGAGCGCGGCGCGTGTTGCCTCCAAGCGCTGTGAGCGTGGCACTCGGCTCTCAGACACTACAGCATCATCATGGTCCGCCAGACGAGCACGCGCTGGCGGAGACTGTGTGGGGGGGGGGGGATGGCACGTGCCCCCCCCCAATGATCCGATCGAATCCCTAATTTTGATCGGATCATTGGGGTTTATGAGTAATAAATCGGCATTTTGCGACCCCCACTGCCACTGTGTAGCATATTATTACGTGCCAGGGACTCTGAGATGATAGGACAATAGTCTGAGTCCATAATTGGCAATCAGTAACAGCAAAGCGGTTATAAGTGACTCAGAATTGTGCGCAGTTGCGTATACAGTCCACGACTTCCCTGAAGGCATTCACCTTCAGCGAGCGCGATGGCGATCACACAACGCGGTTCGAATTCGACCCTCGATCGATGGCTGTGCCTTCGCCGCACACGCGTCGAATAAAAAGCAAGGGACAAGTCCTTACTCACTTACAACTCCTCTATCATTTCTTATTGCTGGAGGGGTTGCCCCCCCTACCTGAAAATCCTGGCTCCGCCATTGCGAGCACAGAGCAGCAGGCAGTGATGTAGCGATGTGACATGTCATGCATGCAATGGAGATCCTTCCTCGATAGTAATACATGTGTAGTGTTCGATTTCACTCGGACAACTTGTCTTTCTTCGAACACCGCTTTATTTACAACTCTCCGCATGTCCTCAATATTCCACAGTATCCTGGTCGCCACGGCTCGCTCGCCGTGCGTCACTCGACTCGCTCGCCACCTTTGTCTCTCCACTCCCCACGATTACTGCGCTTACTCCACCGCTAACTTCTTCGTCTCCGCTCTCCGCTATCACCGTCACTATGCTCTCTCCACTGCTAACTGCTTCGTCTCCGCTCTCCGCTATCACCGTCACTATGCTCTCTCCACTGCGAGCTACTTCGTCTCTGCTCTCCGCTATCACCGACGCTATGCTCTCTCCAGTGCTAACTACTTCTCTTCTTCAGCTCCGCTATCGTTACGCTCTCTCTACTACTAGCTGCTTCTCCAAACTCCGTCTCCAAACTCTGTCTCAAACTCTGTCTCCAAACTCTGTCTCTAACTCTCCAACCAACCAACTCCCCAACGAACTCCGTCTTCCCCTTCGTCTCCTCAGCTGCTCCACGTCTTGCCTCCTCCAGCCCCCAACTCCAACTCCCGACTCCAATTCTCGACCTTATCCCCGCTCTCATTACACCCCAATTAATTAACCCGCTTCCCAACGGCGCTCCGCAAGCCCGTGCACCTGTTACCTCGCCAGACTTCTAGATGCCACTCCAGCCTTGACAACAACACCAACCAATCACAGCCGTCCTTGGCTCCCCCAGCTTAATTGTCCTAACATAACCTGTACTGTCTTTGCCTTCGCTACAGGCTGACCCAACATGACCCGTAATGACTTTGCCTTCACAACAGGCTGACCCAACATAAGCCGTACTGTCTTTGTTTCCATGCAATCACATTGTTTGCACTACGCACCTTCCTACTCCACTACATCTGCAACACCCAGGATGGTACAGTTCCCATGAATTCGCAAACATCCCAGTGCCGCTATCACAATAATATTTAACATCTCTGATGACTTCAAAACCTCTGTTGCGAATCCCACTTTCCTAACATGTTGGCAATAAAAATGCATGTGTACATGAATGATTTATTGGGCCAACATTTTTTCCCAGACAGTCCCTGTCACACGCGCAGACATCATTGCCAAAACCCTAAATTTGTATTGATTTCTTTGCAGAGAGGAAGAAAAATAAAAGTATTATCCACGATCTTGTCGGCGACCTAAATTCTGATCATTCATATCACCAATACCACCTTGACGTCTTTGATGTTTGATTGCCTCGTGGGCAGTAAATCAGCGTAAAAAGAAATACCAAGACAGTATGTGGTGTGGGGCATATGTTGTATGTTCACTATGATTATTACGTTCAATACAGTTATAAATGAACTCACATTCATAACGTTCATACGTGACGATTTGTCAATTTATTGACTTTGAGTGTTTTTTTATGAGAAATGTGATTCAAAACTGGGGCATAATGTCCAATTTGCAGTGACTGGTTGATACCATGTGGCTGGAGTCACTTGATTTTTCAGCAACAATAAAAACACTGGCTTCCCACCTGGGATTTGAACTCACAACCTTCAAATTGTGAATCAACTTTGACAATGCCATCTGCTGGTTGTAAACACGTAAACAAATTATGATAAGTATCTAACATGATAATGTTTTGTGAGTTCAAATCCTGGTTGGTTGGTGAACTAAGCCCATCCATCCTTCCACGGCCAATTAAATGAGCACTGCTTTGTGGGAAAAGCCAACAGTGGTTGTTCTTCTTCTTTGGTTCTTTCGGTAAAGTCACGTAGAATGAGAATAAAATAATAAATTGATAAAATATAATAACACAGTAATATTCTCACGACGTTTCGGCCACAACACAAGCGGCCTTCATCAGGTGAAGGGGCGAGACTGTCTGGTAGGACAGCGCTGGAGTGGTTGTCCTATGTCCTATTCGTACTCACCCCCACCATTGGACTGTGGAATTTTCCCCACCGGCTCATGGATTCGAAAAAGGAGCGGAGCACTGCCTCAATGCGTATTTAAGCTGGAAATATTTTTTTAAGTCACGGAACACACCGAAAGACTCGGTTTACCGTTAGAACGTCAACACAATTGGACCTGACCCCATCGAGGATCTGCAGAGAAGTTTAGTTTTTAAGTTCCTCAAGCAGTACCCCATGTAACGCTGGGTGTGGGTTGGCTGTGGGAATTTCCGGGCAGCAATTTTAGAACGGGTGAGGGGGGGACCACACGACACTGTTTTTCAAAGTACCGCAATTCTCACTGATGACACAACCTTAGCCCACAACAGAGTGCCCTTCTTATTTGCCTACCTCATTATGATTACTTCATTTTGTTGATGCCTTTAAAAAATGGTGTAAAAAAAAGTTAACATCATGGCACGAGAGTTCTAAAACGAGAGAACAAGCAAACTGGACGTTTCTTTCGCAGCCCACAAAAGAGAGCTTGCACATGAACAACCGCTAAGTCGACGTACTGCCGGCGGAGGGCCTTCCCGTAGCGTGCGGGTCAAAGAGCAATGTTTGACCATGCTTCGCCACGTTGGTCAGCGTGGGCTGAAGGTGGAGAGATGTACAGAAACACAATGGATTTCACTGCACTGCAGGCCGGCAAAGTCCACCGTGAAAGGTTACAATAAATATAAGCACTGCTGTGCAACAAGCACGTAATTCACATAAAATTACGTGCCTCTTGCACAGCAGTGCATGAATTACAATGCATGTTCTTCAAATGTACACGAAAACATGTGGACGTAAGCAAAATCCGACAACCTCAAAGTACAATTGCTGTTCACGGCCAATATCAGGGGCAAGTGCTCCATAAACTGGTCCAGGGTGCCCTCATTCAACAACAACCCACACTCGCCAACTTTGGCAAAGCAATGCCCGAAAGTGGATGTGACAGCGGGTTCTAACATCTGCATGCGAGTCTCTGTGTGGGCGCCTTTGCCTGGGTGCGGAATCACAATACTGGCGGAGATGAAAACAGATGAAGGTAAAAAAAAATTTCAACAGCTCAGCTATACGTTTTTTTTACATGTAACAGTAGAACATCAAACAACCGCTAATCCTCGACATTATGAATTGTTAAAACAAAAAAACCACAGGCACACATAAAGCGTTACCTGCCTCTGTTCTGGGGCAGCTTGGTGCTTCAAATGCACACCGACTTTCATGCGACTAATGGGCACGCATTTAACGAAGGCCACTAACAACAAAAAAACGAACGCCGCCACTAAGTGTTGCATTTGCAAGATTGTAAAAGCGTTTAAACGACCGCTCATTATTACGAGAATACGCTGCAATCTCGTTGTACACGTTGACACGCTCGGATGACGGGGCCTTTGGTCTGTTTACCTACATACGACTGCTATGGCAATACGTGAAATGTGCAATGGCAATTAACTTGCTTGCGGTTCCGTATTATTAACGAGTCTAAAGAAGTGTGGAGCACACTTTAATGGAACACGTTATGTCTTGTGAATGTATGTAATTGGGGAAAACTGAAAAAAATGTGTTTATTGAAACGATGAAAAACAAAACTGTCCAATTTAACACAGCCAATGCATTTTGCCAAACTGTTACCCACAGGTTCTGCCCTTAACAATTTAAGTCCGTGTGCATTTATGTGCTCAATAAATCTTGTGACCTCAAATACAGCTCCTAACTTCCAGCGGTGTGGATCCCATCTACTGATGTATAAACACTGAGACTATTAGAAGGCAGTGTCCAATACATTTGAGAGTTTTTTTTTTACAAATTCATATTTCGTGCACTGTTTATACTTGGAAGTAGGCTAGAGAGTAGAAGGTGGCTGGAAGTGACTTTCAAGTGATTGACACCTACTTAAATCCAGTAGGTTGGAAAAACATTTAAATTGTAAATTGTGTCAAACAGACAACATGCTAAACGCGGCAGTACTTATACTGCCCTGGGGTGTTTTCTAAAATAATTCTCACTTGTGAACAATTGCATTGCAATCTTCCTTCCATTTAATTGCTTCAGCCAAGCTCTACACAAGCACATCTTGTAAATACTTCACAGACACATAAAGACTAAAAAGCCACACACAAAGGTTTGAGTTCCTCTTCCGCTCACAAAACCCCGCACGGCGTTAGTGGCAGCGGCGATGGCAGCGGCAGGAGCAGTGGCGGCGTTACCTTCACAGTGTGAGCCCTCGTCATAGCCATCACTGCAGTCGTTGATGCCATTGCAGAGCTTGCTGTGTGGGATGCACAGGTCTGTGCCCAGGCATTGGTGCTTCCCCAAAGGGCACACGATGGTCGCCTGGCCTGCAGGGAAGATTCGCACAAGGAAAGATAACCAATGCTGAGACTAGAGGGCAGGGCACTTTGCCAGACTTGGGTTCTGAGGCAAGGTCACGGTTGGGTTTGTTCATCGTACATCAAAAGGCAATTTCTGAAATATTTTCTACATTTTTTTTTCACATGTGAGTGACAACTGAGAAAATAACCAAATAGTGAATACATTTTTCATTCCAAATATTTCGTGGTCAATTTAGCACATATATTTTCACGTCGCACAGCATCGTTCCTTTTTTGTTGTCCCGGGAGTATTTGTCATTAAAGCAGAGCCACGGTTGACAAAGTACACATTAATGGAGAAACAGTTTTTAACTAAAAAAAACCTTACGGAGGCATTTTCATGGGCCATGTCTTTCCATAATTTATGTATGTATACGGTGTTAACATTTATTACAGTTTAGGAACTTTCATCGTGTTAACAGAGCAATTATAAAATATTCCAAAAATAATTGGGAACGTTAACATTCTAAATGTCAGTTTATAATTTTACAATTACTTGGATTTTCATAATATAAATTGACTCCCATTGTGCATTTAGTTTGCAGCTGATTTAAAAGGTCTTCATTCATAATGCATGAGTGCTGCAGTATGACTCTGAATATTGAAACACGTACATCACCACTCCAATATCAAGCCCACGTGGGGCCGACCAAGAGTGAGCAGCACAACCGAAAGATATGCCACGTCGTGACCAACATGGCATTCTGACGCTCAACTAAGTCACCTTTACCGATACCAGGAAATACCCCAAGTCCTTCGAAAGCAAGGTTAGGCCATTCATCATTACACACAGGTCTGGAGTGTGTTGCTAGTGCAGGCGCGTACAATACTTGGCACCAATCCCCAGTGAATCAACTTTGACAATTTGGAACATGATGGTTTCCTTCAGAGCAACCGGCTCCTTTACTCAGTGGATTGGCCATACCCCTGTCCCACACGGCAGCATCTTTTGCATGACATGAGCAGTGCCAGCCTCATTTCAAGATTGCTCTTGTGCAGTCCATGGCGAAAGTAATGTTATACATAGCATATCTGTAAAAGAGAATATTCCACCCCTTTGCCCAATAAATGACAGTGCAGCAATGTTACTTTGAAGCTTGATTGACACTATCCACTGGGCAATGTAATGAAATTCAGGTTGTCTGCGTTTGAAGTGCTTTAAAAATCCAATGAGCTTAAAGCAGCTCTTTCCATGATTTTTGCTGGCTTATTTACAATGCACGCCATGTCTTCTGGCCATATCTGCCACAGCTACTGAGGAACAAGGCAGGTGAAGTGACCGCTGAGCACTGCGCTTGTCATTTCAAGTCCACTGTGACCTTCCCAAAAACCTGAAATGCCAGCCGATGGGGAACGAAGATCAATTTTTTGAACGCAGGTGTTGAGTGCGTATAGGTTTGCGGTGTCTGGCAGGAAGGAAAAAAAACAATGCCAGGGCACGGTGGAGTCAACGACATTGGTTTGCAAATGGCCTCACGACCTTAAGTTGCCACCCAGCTGCGCATTTGCTGCTGTTAAAAAAACCCGCGTGCTGCTGCCACGTGTCAAGCATGGAGCCACGTGGGAGACGTCCGAAATGCCGTTGCTTATTTTTCCAACACGAAATAATGAATAGCTTATCTACCCAAAAGAAAGCGACGCCGTGGGTGTACGTTCTTTTTCAGGAGGGGCCCTCCACTGGCATGCCTGACAAACATCAGTGACCGATTGATCTGATTTTAGCTGTAGGGGGTAAAAAAAAAACAGCGAACGCAGAGGAAGCCCATGAAGAAAGGCAACGGGGTAAGGAACCGAACCCAGGCACTGTTTACTGTAAGGTACAAGTGTTAACACTCAGCCAGAGTGCTCGGCAGCATTTTTGTTGTTGTTATCAGAATCTTTATTTAGACGGGAAGAATCTGATGAGCTGTAAAGATATTTCTCACAGATGTCCGGTCGGGCCAGGTCAGAAAGTTACAACAACAAACAACAAAAATGGATAGGAGTGCAAAGCATAGGGTAGCTAAGCAAGTCATTAAATATAAATTAAAATAAATAAAGTATACAAGTACATATTTGCACAAGGACATGAATTATTTGCCTCATAAGACACTCGTGAAAGGACCATTGCCCTATATTTTAGGATAAAAATGTTTTACACCTGTGTTTATATATATTAAATAATCACGTAGTCAAATAATTGTGTAGTGAATCCTACAGGAAAGGGTGTGTGGGTGCTGGCCGACGGATGAGGTTATTCGAGGCCATGGCCCAGAAGGACACGTGACCGGTTAAGTCTACAAAGGGGCCCCAAGTGGTGGCTGGGGGTGGTCACGTGGTTGGGACCCAGATCCTTCCCGAGGGATCTGGAAGGTGGTCGTGGCCAAGGGCGGAGCCGGCCACGACGCAGAGACGATAAGCCGGGTCCCGAGAGGGACCGGGGTTGTTGTTGTTCATCCTGGAAGAAACCCTTCGTCTACGTTCTCCGTTCAACGAGTCTCCAACACGTGGACCCGGACCCAAGCTGTTGGTCCCGGTTCGTAGTAGCAGTTACGTTGTAACTAGTCTAGTCAGACTGGTGGCCACCACCATAGGTTGCTATTCTGTTAAGGGGAAAGTTACCCCGTGTGTTGGAGTTAAATAAATGTGTTGCCTCCAAGCCTATGGCTGCGACTCAGTTGAACTCATGACAATTGCATTGATTTTCAGGTTGACTGCAATGAAAGTGCAAGACAGTTCGTATCTTTAATATTCCATTATCCAAATGCTTTGACCGCCCCTTGTGGATGAGTGTTTTTCAAAATGAGGGCTCAGCTGTCTCAGCGGGCAACGCCAGATCTGACCACAGGGGAGCCATCACAGGTGCTGGTCATATTTATATTTGATTGATCTGGGACGCAAATAAATACGTGTTCCATATTTATCGCTGGCAAACACCTCGAAGGGGTGGTAGACAGTGCCTGCCAACGGACCCCTCGCAAATGTTGGCACTAAACAATCACGTGGCCTAACCCAACATAAAATATGGTTCAATCTTGATTTGAAGCTTTCGTGACTGCAGGAATCCATATTCTTTGGTTATTTCGGTAAAGTCAGGTAGGTAGAAAAATAAATTAAATATATTATTTATATTTTAGGTCGAAAAATAAAATATCTATAATTTTTTTTAACAAAAGTTTTTTCTACCTACGTGACTTTACCGAAAAAACCAAAGAGTAAAATATGGTTCTTTTCATTGGCTACGAAAAAAAACATTTTTAGTTGTTGCCACCATGGTGGTTAATAGGTAACCCATTCATGTCAATTTACAAACATTTTTTTAATATAATATATGATCGTACTCCATTAAGTGCAGTCTCCAACTCATACCCCATGAAGTACAGTATCCAACTCGTATCCACCTATCGCCCTGGCATCCGTATGCGTGTGCTATAAAGAATGGCCACTTCCCAAGACATTGCCTATTATACGATTTAACTTGCAGGCAATGTTAATGACGAACGTATTGCATTTTTTTTGTTAATTGTGCCTGCTAATGCAGCAGCATCACCAAATAATCAGTTTTACAACACCCTCAACATTAAACTGTGGCTTATTATTGAGATGCTAACAAGAGCAGCAACGGAATGAGATTGAACATTTGTAAGACAAAGAGGGCCTATCAAATACATTCAAGACAAAGTGGGCCTTCAGTGGAAAGAATAATGAACATTAATCATATCTATTCCTGGAAATACATTCACTGTTTCGTATATGTGTATACATTTTTTTGTATATTTGATTCACAGTACAATGTGTGTGCATTACATTTGTCAAAAAAACTTTTCGTGCTGCTTTAGTATATGATGTGCATACAAAACAGTTTAACTGATGAAAGAAAATCCCATTTAATCTATCACCAACAAGGTTTCTGCGGCAATGCATTCCAGCAGCCATGTGCTTAAAAAACACAGCCCTGCTTCAAAATGCCCTTGGTTAACTCCATGCCAATCACAGCCTGATACCAAGCTGTCCATTTTGTACGGTAACTTCACTTGCAACTGAATTTGACAAACATCCTGGTCTGTTTACATACAGTGCAATAATCAGCTTAAGTCCATTTTAAATTTTCCATCAAGGATTTTTTTCACGTCCATGGGGTATTGTCAATGGCTTCTGTAACGCGGTTGCTGTCATCTCTATCTGCTTCATCATTACACTTGATTTCATTGCTTTGGTAACTTCGGTGACCCGGGGTCACTCTTCTCATCCTGGTCACTTGAGTTCTCGCGGGGGGTTCAACAAAGTCAACTTGAACTCAATCCCCGAGCTCCCATGAGCCTCGGCGGGGAGGAGGGGGGCGCGGTGAGGGTGACTGCCCAGACAAAGGGTAACGGTGAGAAGGACACCAAAGGTATACGAATAGAAAGTTCTCCATGTTTTACAAAAAAACATTTACAAGTCACGGTGTTTATATATGTAATGGGTAACGCACATCCACACAAGTCACATGATGGATACGAAAAGAAAGGACAGACAGGATTATTACCGGATTATTGTTCTCAAGCAGCATTAAATACTTATTTTGCCAAGGGCGTTATTTGCAGGGAGGCTAGGCCTAACTTCGCAGAGTTCCATGAACGAGGCTTAATCGATTAAACCAATACCACTGGGAGCTGACATCAACAGGCATTGTGGAGGGCAAGCGTCCTCGGAGCTATCACGCACTTGGGGATTTCGCTCGTGAGCCCCAGCGAAATGGGGGAATTTGTAAAAGCTGCGTCAACACAACGACCATCCAGGTCTCTGTAATCGGGAAACGTGTGTGGGTAGTAAATCCATAGGAATGCCACTGACACCTTGGGTCACTTAAAACCGCATTAAGGTCAGTACAGTACTGACCTTAATGCAGTCCGTAGAAGGCCGCTCTCGTGAATACAATAGCTTTAGTGTTATTAGTGGAACCTGCTGTGGAGCCAAGTGAGCCCAGTGCATTATTAGTTGTTAAT